GAAACAAAACACTTATGAACATTATTGTCGATAACAAAACACTCACCATAAACAGGATTTTACACTAACCTCCAAATTGTTAGGTGGCCTAACAACAGAGTTGCTGAGCGAAGTAGAGTTTTTGTTTTTATTAATTATTATTATTATTATTATTATTATTATTATTCAACCACTTTTTTCCTAGGACTATAAAATGCAAATATCATTGCAGGGTTAAGGGATCTGGGGCACTGCACCCAGACCAATTCAATGAGCTGAAGTGGTCTGGGTGCCTATAGTGCTCTATTAAAGAAACATTATAGGCACCCAAACCACTTCAGCTCATTGAAGTGGCCTAGGTGCATGTCCTTGCCCCCCTTAGTCCTGCAATGTAAAACATTGCCGTTTTTCATTCTATCAGACATGCACTAGAAGCACCTTCTGGATTTTAGTGGACTCTGAGTCTCTTAAACAATGCCAGACGTCCTCACGCTCTGCATGAGGATATCCAGCGTCTGTTTTTTTTATGGGACGGGCTCACATGTGCATTAGGTGCCTCTGTTAGAGGACATGGAGCACCGGCCCAGCACCATGGAATATCGGTGCTGGAATCAAGAGTGAATAAAGGGTTTTTTTTTTTTAGGGAGGGGGACCAGAGGGCACTATAGTTTTAGGAATATAGCTTTGTGTTCCTAACATATAGATTCCCTTTAAAGGATCACTATAGGGTCAGGAACACAAACATGTATTCCTGACCCTATAGTGTTAACACCACCATCTAGCCCCCCTGGGCCACTCATGCCTCCATTAATATAGTAAAAATCTTACTGTATTCAAGCCTGAAGCTGTAAATCTGCATGCTGTTAGACTCAGAAAAACAAGCAGTCTGCTGACATGTGGTAGCCTGATCCAATCACAGGGCTTCCCCATAGAATTGGCTGAGACTGACAAAGAGGCAGATCAGGGGGAGAGCCAGCATGATTCAAACACAGCCCTGGCCAATCAGCATCTCCTCATAGAGATTAATTGAATCAATGAATCTCTATGAGGAAAGTTCAGTGTCTGCATGCAGAGGGAGGAGATACTGAATCACAGGATGCTGTGCACAGTGCTGCCATGTGCTCTGCTAACAGCAGATCTGAGTGGATGGAGGCATATTATGCCTCCATCAACTCTGAAGTCCCACTGGTTCACTCAGGGCTGCCACCAGAAATTTTGAGGCCCCTAATTGAGCTCAGGGTCTGGGCCCCCAGAGGCCCGCCTCCAAATCCCGCCCACAGGAATACACACACACAAACACATTCACTGATACAAAAGCACACAGATACAAACACACATACATACTAACAGACACACATACTGAGACATACACACATATACAGACACACAGGTGTACATAGTGACAGAAAGACACATACTAACATACATACAGACACACATGCATAAGGACATACAGACACAGACAGATTCATAATGACATACAGACAGACATACATACATACATTCATACTGGCATACAGACACTGACATCTATACATACATTCATAATGACATACAGACATACATTCATATATTCACACATTCATAATGACATGCAGACATACATCCACTGACATATATACACACATAATGACATACATACAGACAGACATACATACATACAGACAGACATGCATATAGACATTCATAGAGTCACACACACACACACAAAGCTAATTTTCCAGCCACCGTCTGTCTCTTACCTCGTCTTTGCAGGAGGGTGGCTGGGGATGATGGGAGTAGTCGGCTGGCTCTCCCTCTTAACTGTCGGGCGTGCGCTCCTCCCGCGCCGAGTGAGCTATACCTGCTATACCACGGCGCTGACCGGGCCCCTGCAGATGCACCGGCACCCGCACGCTGATGGGGCCCATCGGGTGGCCCACGCACTAAGGGCCGCCGGGCCCGTGACAATGTCATGGTTGTCACTCCCTGATGGTGGCCCTGGGTTCACTGAGTGACTGCAACTGGAGGTGTTCCTAGCTTTCAATGTAAACACTGTATTTTTCAGGAAAATACAGTGTTTACATGAGAAAGGCTGCAGGGAGCTATGGTTCTCACCTGAACAACCTCATTAAGCTGAAGTTGTTCAGGTAACTATAGTGTCCCTTTAAGTAAATGTACAGATATTATTTTTATATATAAAAATATATATTTATTTTTTGCAATTTAAAATGGAAAGGAAAAACTGAGGCAAAAATAGCTGATTGGAAACAGTGCCATCTTAACAGCAGTATGGGCCCCCGGGCAAAGCAGTGCACTTTGGCCCTGAATTCACAACAACTCACAGGAATAAAAATGTAAATTATCGATAAAATTAAACTTACATTTATTGGTACCTCCAACAAATGCAATACATACAAACAGACTGCTGAATACGCACACACCGACTCCTGAGTACACACAGACAGACTGCTAAATACTGCAATAATTGCCTTGGAGGGTTAACTCCACCTCTAGTGCTGTCTACCAGAGAGCCACTACAGGGACTTCTGGGTGGCTAGGAGACTTTTAGTCGCCTGACGCTGGACGTCCTCACGCAATGCACGAGGACATCCAGTGGACCCAAAACCCTATAGGAAAGCATTATATAGTGCTTTTCTATGGGGGAAGTCCTAATGCGAGCGTGGCGCTCACCGCACATGTGCATTAGGTCCCCGCCGCCGGGTGACGTTGGCGGGGAGACGCAGTGGCGAAGCTTGAACCAGTGCTGCTGAAATAAGATATGTGACAGGAGTTTTTAACCCCTTTTACACCACAGAGTGGGTATGGGAGGCTCTATAGAGAGCTATACTGCAAGAAAAACTACTTTGCTTTTCTGGCACTATAGTGTCCCTTTAAGTACAGTCTACAATCTTTACCGAGAAGTACCCACACAGAAAGGATAAAATAGCTTCTTATTAAATGACAGCAAGAGGAGATCAGCTGAATGACCTATATTTAACCTTGACAACATTTAGTGACTACAAATGGCCTTTAACCCACTGAGTGCCACACAGCACAGCTACGAGTTATTCACTGATCTGGAATTCAAAAGGTTAACTCACCATAAACCCCGGTTTCTTTATATAGAATACAATGTACACATGTCTCAGCTCCAAGTTGGTTTTGGCTGCAGTGAGTGACTTGCTTATAATGTATCTATGATCAGACATGAATTCTATTCACATATTACAATGCTGGCATGTCAGTCATGCCCCAGTGAGGTGATCTGCTTATATAACCATCACATGTTGCAACAGTAACCCTTTCCCTGACTGCTTAGCTCTGATCCTCTCCATTCTCTAGTAATCTGAGGCTGCTGCAGCTATTCCAATACATTCTATACTAGTGATACATTCATCTTGGGAAACTTACTTCAATTCACTGATCTAAGAGACCCTGGACAGACAGCTGGAAGGAGAGAGCTGAATCTCCAGCAGGGCAGAGTTCATTGGAGGATTGCATGTAGGAGATCTGGGGAGGAAAAACAGCAACACTTCCTGGTACCGTAATACTCCTACAAGATGTGCCTTTCTAACCCAGGAAGGATACAGAATCAAGCAGCATGTGGAAACGGGAACTAACGGCTCTGAACCTCCCCCCCTGTTTATTACTTATACATTGACACTAATCCTGTCACACTCCCTCCTCCAGCCATGCTACACTCACCCCTAAATCTGTGACACCACCCAACCATGGCACACGCACCCTGTCACAGTAACCCCCTTAAAGGAACACTATAGTCACCTAAATTACTTTAGCTAAATAAAGCAGTTTTAGTGTATAGATCATTCCCCGGCAATTTCACTGCTCAATTCAGTAATTTTGGAGTTAAATCACTTTGTTTCTGTTTATGCAGCCCTAGCCACACCTCCCCTGGCTATGATTGACAGAGCCTGCATGAAAAAATAACTGGTTTCACTGTCAAACAGATGTAATTTACCTTAAATGATTGTATCTCAATCTGTAAATATAGCTTTAATCACATACAGGAGGCTCTTGCAGGGTCTAGCAAGCTATTAACATAGCAGGGGATACGAACGTCTTAATTAAACAGAACTTGCAATAAAGAAAGCCTAAATAGGGCTCTCTTTACAGGAAGTGTTTATGGAAGGCTGTGCAAGTCACATGCAGGGAGGTGTGACTAGGGTTCATAAACAAAGGGATTTAACTCCTAAATGGCAGAGGATTGAGCAGTGAGGCTGCAGGTGCATGTTCTATACACCAAAACCGCTAATTAAGCTAAAGTTGTTCAGGTGACTATAGTGTCCCTTTAAACCTGTTGCCCTTTCACATGCCCCCCTCCAACCATGCTATACTCCCCCCAAAATCTGTGACACTCACTTCCCAATTATGCTACACTCAGCCTGTCACAGTAACCCCCTTAAACCTGTCACACTCCCCTCACCCTTTCACATGCCCTCCTCCAATCCTGCTACACTCACCCCCAACTCTGTCACACTCACCCCCCCACCAACCATGCCTCACTCACCCTATCACATTAACACCTCTAACCGTGTCACACTCAAACCCCCCCACCAACTCACCCTTTCACATTAACACCTCTAATCGTGTCACACTCAAACCCCCAACTATGTCACTCTCACCCCCCCACCAACCATGCCCCACTCACCCTATCACATTAACACCTCTAATCGTGTCACTCACTCCCTAAAATCTGTCACACTCACCACCTTGTTTTGCCACACTCACCCGTCACTTGAACACACCTAATCCTGTGACATTGACACTCACCCTAATCCTCTAAACATGTCACACTAACCTCTCCTTGCTCTGTCACACTCCCTCGTCCAACTATGCCACATTCACCCCCAACTCCGTCACACTTACCTCCCAATTCTGCCACACTTATACGGTCACATTAATCCCCATAATAATGTCACATTCACCCCTAATCCTTTCACACTCACCCTCCCTCACTCCGTTACACTTACACCCTCAACCCTATCTCATTAACCCACTTGTGCCCTGTCAAACTCACAGTTATACTTTACTCAACCTGTCTCCGTGACCCGCTAAAGACATTCATCATACACACACAGTCATGAAACACAGTTTTTCAATAAACACAATGCACTCTCCCATACACACAACCAGAGGCGGCTCTAGACTTCATCAGGCCTTAGGCGAAACTCAAACATGAGGCCCCACTAACAAAAAAGTGTCACATATACACATTGAGGCACTGTCTACCTGTGTATGTGCTTAAGAGTGTGTCTGACAGAGAGTATCCTTGTGTGTGTGAATGTATGTCTCTGTGAGCATGTTTGCATTTTTGTCTGAGACCATATGTGTATGAGGTAGCTGCTTGAAGTGTGTTGTGTGTATGGGGGTGATGGTGAGAGGGAGGGGGGGTAATGTGAGAAGAAGAGGGGGGATGTGAGAGTGAGGGGGGGTTGATGTGAGAAGGAGAGAGTTGATAATGAAGAAGGAGAAAGAGGGGTGATATGTGAAAAGGAGGGAGTGATATGAGAAGGAGAGTGATGTGAGAAGGAGAGAGTGATGTGAGAGAAAAGAGGAAGGTGTGATAGGATGTAGTGAGAGGTGATGATGAAAGAGAGGTGATAATGAAAGAAGAGAGGGTGATGTGAGAAAGGAGGGGGGTGATGTGAGAAGGAGAGGGTGATGTGAGAAAGGAGAGGGTGATGGGATGAGAGTGAGGGTGATGGGATGTGAGAGTGGGGGTGATGGGGTGATGTGAGAAGGAGAGAGAGTAATGTGAGGAAAGGAGGGGGTGGTGTGAGAAGGAGGGCGTGTTGGTGTGAGAAGGAGGGTGATGATATGAGAAGGAGGGTGATATGTGAGAAGGAGGGGGTGATGTGGGTAGGAGGGAGGTGGTGTGGGAAGGAGGGTGATGATGAGAAAGAGAAGGAGGGTGATGTTGAGGGTGAGGGGTGATGTTGAGGTGATACTGAGGGGGTGGGGGGGTGATGCTGAGGGGTGGGAGGCTGAGGGGGCAGGGGGTGAGGCTGAGGGGGCAGGGGGTGAGGCTGAGGGGTGGTGGGGGTGAGGCTGAGGGAGGTGGGGTGATGCTGAGGGTGAGGCTGAGAGGAGTGGGGTGAGGCTGAGTGGGGTGGTGGGCTGAGCTGAGGGTGGTGGGGGGTGGAGCAGCAGAGGGTGGTGGGGGTAGGTGAGGCTGAGGGTGGTGTGGGGGTGATGCTGAGAGGTGGTGATGCACTGAGGGTGGTGGGGGTGAGGCTGCGAGTGTGGTGGGGGTGGTGAGGCTGAGGGTGGTGTGGGGGGTGAGGCTGAGGGTGGTGGGGGGTGGTGAACAGGGCCGGACTGGGAATTCCAAAAGTCTATGCCAGCCCCATAAGTCATTGCGCCATATATTGTCGCATGTAATATGTAAGGCTATGTCTTGCCACCCTAGATGATATATATATATATATATATATATCTTTTTCCAATATAAAATATTGGTCCTTTCAGAGTAAAATTTTTAATTATACAGTAAGCATACTCACATGCAGACACAGACCATCTCACTGACACAAGATGATTGATACACAGCCTCATAGACAAACAATCTCACTGATATATAAGGTCATTGACATAAAAACACAAGCTCACTCAGTAGCAGGCACACACACACACACAAGCAAGCCCACTCACTAGCAGGCGCGCACACACACACAACTTAATGTAGTGGCTCTGGTGTCTATAGCCTGTCCCTGCAGGCTTTTCAATGTAAACACTGACTTTTTAGAGAAAAGGCAGTGTTTACATTGCTTCCTAGTGACAGACACTCAGACGGTCACTAGAGGTGCTTCCTGTGTCAGTGCGGATTGGCTGAGATCATCAATCTTGATGATCTCAGCCGTAGAGACAGGGCCAGTCGAGGAGAGACCAGTACGACGTGGTGGGGGGAGGGGAAAGGTGAGTAAAAACACACATACACACACACATACATACCATGACAGACACACACCATGACACAGACACACACACACCGTGACACAGACAGAAACACACACACACACCATGACACAGACATAAACACACACATCATGACCAAGACACACACATACCATGACAGACACACACCTTAACACAGACAGACCGTGACACAGACACACACACACAACACAGACACACACACCATGACACACAGACACACACACACCACGACACAGAGAGACCATGACACAGACAGACACACATTACATGACACAGACACACACACACACACCATGACATACAGACACACACACCATGACAAACACACACACACCATGACACAGACAGACCGTGACACAGACACACACACACCATGACACAGACACACATTGCATGACACAGACAGACACACACACCATGACACAGAGACACACACACACCATGACACAGACGCACACACCATGACAGAGACACACACAATGACACAGACAGACACACACAATGACACAGACACACACACCATGACACACAGACACACACACAAATGACACAGACACACACACACCATGACACACACACAAATGACACAGACACACACACCATGACACACACAGACACACACACAAATGACACAGACACACACACCATGACACAGACACACACACCATGACACAGACAGAGACACACACACACCATGACACACACACAAATGACACAGACACACACACATACTGTGACGAAATGCCTTTTGTCCCTGGATTGTTAGGTGACAAGCTGCCCTTTGCCCCCGGCTTTTGGAGGAGCCTGATTGCCAGCCTCCTTCCTCATGACTATGGCCCTGGGGTGTATTGCCATTTAAAAAGACTATTTGGGGCTTATTGGCTTCTAAAGACAGTTTCTTCCCATTGGAATCCATGGGAAGGTGTGTTTCTTCCCCTCCCCCGTTTCCTGTCTATTGTTCACCTAGATTGGGCGCTCAGATCCAAGCTATCTGGGGATAGGTTAAATGTGGGGGTTCTGTGTAATAAAATAAGAATTATGTATTTTCATGTACTTTTACGTATTTTTGCTGTTAGTGTTAAATGTAGATATTTTCTGTATCTGGAGATAATTGAGTTTACTGCAGTGCCTTAAGCCAATTATCTCCAGGATGGAGAGGAGGGATTTCATTGTGTATGTGAGAGTGTTATTATGTTAATTAGTGTTCCCATTGGTTTGTGTCCCTTTTGTCACAGTTTACCACCAGGTCCAGGGGGTGTGCCTCTGACCTGAAAACTTGTATATAAGGAGTAATAAACGCTCATTGGAGTCAGATCATCTTGTACCTTCATGAAGTTTCGGCTCATGTTTGGGGGATTGGAGAAACTACACTCTGGGGATTGCTATAATCACTATACTCCCCAGGGTATAATCACTAAGCTCTGTTAAGAGCTTGTTCCTGCTCTCTGGAATTCGGAGAGAGGTCGACCTGCTGGAAGCTGGACCCTGGTCCTGGGTCCAGAGTGGGTGGAGACGGCGAGATCCCAAACAAGCTGCGGCGGTTCGTGGGGTCTGCAGTGGTTATGGTGTCAGGCAGAGTGCTTGGAGTCCTCGGAAAGCACTAGGAGCATCTGTCGGCGGAAGGTACCCGGTCGGGGTGCCAGCGGTTCCGTTACACATACACTCACACTGACACACACAATTTCTACCTGTGGGGAGCTCTGATGGCGGCCGCAGGGGGAGCTGGCTGTTCTGTCTCTACTCCCTCTCCCCAGCGCACTGCTTAATGAGACCAGGGCCGGAATATGACGTCATGACGAATATGACTCCCTCTGCGGTGGCTGGCCAGGCAGCCAGGAGGGGCCTCGTACCCGGCGGCATACCAGGCAAGCCACCGGGCCCCCTCCTGGTGTCAGGTCCTCGGTCACTGACCAAGGACATAGTCTGCCCACAGGTGGCTTAGGCGGCCGCGAGGCCGCCACCAGTGCGAGGCCTTAGGTGGCCACCTAAACCGCCTAATTAGAGAGCCGCCTCTGCACACAACACACTACAAACAGCTGTATATGTATATTTGTGCGTGTAACAGTATGCATGTATTAGTGTGTGGTATGGCTTGGGCAACATATGTAATATATAATATACAATACATGAGGCAAAACATATAAAGAACATATAGGATAATAAATATGTTTCAGTCAAAGTTACGAATGACTGGCTGAGACATTTTAACATTGATGCGGCGACAGGCTGTCACTCCAATATAGAAACATAGAATGTGACGGCAGATAAGAACCATTCGGCCCATCTATTCTGCCCAATTTTCTAAATACTTTCATTAGTTCCTGGCCTTATCTTATAGTTAGGATAGCCTTATGCCTTAAACTCCTTTACTGTGTTATCCTCTACCACTTCAGCTGGAAGGCTATTCCATGCATCCACTACCCTCTCAGTAAAGTACTACTTCCTGATATTATTTTTAAACCTTTGCCCCTCTAACTTAAGACTATGTCCACTTGCTGTGGTAGTTTTTCTTCTTTTAAATATAGTCACCTCCTTTACTGTGTTGATTCCCTTTATGTATTTAAATGTTTCTATCATATCCCCCCTGTCGCGTCTTTCCTCCAAGCTATATTCGAAGCTTGGACTTGTTACCAGTGGGGTACCTCAGGGATCTGTACTTGGACCCATTCTCTTTAATATTTTTATTAGTGATATTGCAGAAGGTCTTGATGGTAAGGTATGTCTTTTTGCTGATGATACTAAGATATGTAACAGGGTTGATGTTCCAGGAGGGATAAGCCAAATGACAAATGATTTAGGTAAACTAGAAAAATGGTCAGAATTGTGGCAACTGACATTTAATGTGGATAAGTGCAAGATAATGCATCTTGGACGTAAAAACCCAAGGGCAGAGTACAGAATATTTGATAGAGTCCTAACCTCAACATATGAGGAAAGGGATTTAGGGGTGATTATTTCTGATGACTTAAAGGTAGGCAGACAATGTAATAGAGCAGCAGGAAATGCTAGCAGAATGCTTGGTTGTATAGGGAGAGGTATTAGCAGTAGAAAGAGGGAAGTGCTCATGCCATTGTACAGAACACTGGTGAGACCTCACTTGGAGTATTGTACACAGTACTGGAGACCGTATCTTCAGAAGGATATTGATACCTTAGAGAGGGTTCAGAGAAGGGCTACTAAACTGGTTCATGGATTGCGGGATAAAACTTACCAGGAAAGGTTAAAGGATCTTAACATGTATAGCTTGGAGGAAAGACGAGACAGGGGGGATATGATAGAAACATTTAAATATATAAAGGGAATCAACACAGTAAAGGAGGAGACTATATTTAAAAG